AAACCACGCATTAGTTAGGAGTGTGTTGATCATTAGTACCCTTTAGTTCTTGATATAGGAAATACTTAGAGAAGTATACTATCAAGAACTATGACTTGTAATAAATATGCACATTAATAAAAATTGATAAAATATTTACTTATATTAGTTAATTGTCATTGGATTCAATGTCGCTATAGGTTTTGGAGACATTTACAGAGAGTGTTAATTGTCTCTAAAAAAACATATTTAGCGACAATTAAACTATTACCGTTAATTAATTACCGCTAAAAATCATTTTTGACATATAAATTCACATTACATGTGGGAAAGGTCCCAATACAACACACACATATATATACACACCAGTCACCATGACATTTATCAAACCACAACAAAGATCAAGAACTACTAACAATAGTTTATCATTATATATATAATCATCAGAGACATGGTTGTTAATGGAGACCAAGAAAAACAAGGAATTGTTATGGAAGGATGGGCTCCACAAGCATTGATTCTTCAACACATAAGCATTGGAGGGTTCGTGAGTCATTGTGGATGGAATTCTTTCACAAAAAAGGCAATAAGGATGGTGGTCGTGGAGGAAAATGGGGAGGCTATGAGGAAGAAAACTAAGGAACTGAATGAGAAGCTGAGTGCGAAAGGGGATGAAGAGACATATGGTGTGGTGGAAGAGCTGGTGACACTTTGTAACAAAAAATGATCAGCAACAAGATGTAAGAGTTATCACTTTGTGATTCATGTAACGATAGAATATACCTGAGCCACTATTGTAACGAGGGATGTAGCAGCTATAAATCATGTTTTATAATTAAGTACTTGTTGTTGGCTTAACCAACTCATCAAAAATTCTTTAGACCAACAATAATTATGTGCATCTAAAATGGAACAAGGAAATACTTAACATTGTAGCCTACAATTGAATTAAATAAGAAGTACTCATACAACAACCAAGAAGAAAAAAAAGTGTGATCCCACCAATAGAGTCTAGAAAGGATGGTGTGCACGCAGTCTTATTCATATCTTGTGAGGTTAGAGAAATTATTTTCGATAAATCCTCGACTCATACAGTCCTACTATATATCCCATAAGTAACTCATTTGCTTACCTTGTGAATTAAACAATATAATCGATCGATAGAGTCAAGTTTGACCATGTATATTATTGAGACAAATTCAGACTGAGCATGCAAACTCATATAATCTGATGAGCTGAAATTGATATTTTTGTATTTTTTTTCTCATAAATATAATTTTTTTGCAAATTGAGAAAACTATCAAATTTTCTCAAACTCTTATTCAATCTTACCCAAATGAGCAAATTATAAAATGAATAAATGATGAGTCTTTATCTTTTTTTTTCTTCAAAATATGAGCTTGTAGGTTAAATTTTAGAAAAAAAATAAAATTTTACCTTTTAGGGAATTCGAGATTTGAAATTGAAGTTGAAATTTTGTACAAATTTCATAGTTAAATATTGATTTCAAATCAAAACTTGAAATTGGGGTCAGAAATTATATAACCAAACGACTATTAAATTTTATTGGTGAAAAGATTTTTGGACTATAACTCTTCCATATAAATTAATTCAATGATAATAGCATCTTCACAAGCCTAAGATGAATAGTTAAATTTATGTTATAAACTTTTTTCATCGAAACTAACCACTTTGTATTGCGAAAATTTATGTTATAATTAGGAGGAGTACTTATTATGTCTTTTCCAAATAAAAATAATATATAAATATATATATTCAATAATATTGACATAATTTGTTAATAGAGGCATAAATGGTGCTATTTAATTATGAAAATTTTCCATTTTTAATTTGCCTATTCTCTAAAATTTATTCCAAATTTTACACGTATTTTGTCCTTTCAACCACTCATTATTTCCAAAAATTCTCATTCAATTCTATCCACCAACAAACTTTGAGGTTTTAATACGGTCAACGTCAACTGACCATAAAATAAATATAGTAAATTCGTAACATACACGAGACAACCAAAAAAAAAAAAAAAAATGGGATCCTAATATCAAAATTTATGATAGAGTGATAAGTATTTCTTTATCAGTTATTTCAATTCTTTAGTTTGAGTCTTACATATGAAATGACATTCAATAGAAAGTGCTTGAAATTGCTCGATATAGAACCGTATTAATTAAGTAATAAAATTGAATACGAAATATTGAATGGAACCAAAAAATATAATCAAAGAAAAACTGTTGATTTTGACTTTCGGTCGTGACTCGTGAAACATAGGCATTTTGGTCATAAATATCATTTCATCAAATTGTCAATATTAAATTTCAAATTTATATTTATATAAATACTCCTAAAGCTCAATATTTTAATTTTTTTAAACGTCATGTTTACTATAGAAATACTGATTATCACGTTTATTAAATTGAATTACACGTTTAACTCACAATTTTTATATTATTTTAAAGCATATTTTTAAAGTAAAGCGTATGTTCAAAAACTTAATTTTTTTGGTAACATAAAAAATAACAAAATCTTCTAGGAACAAAATATTATGTATTCTCACGTACAAATAATATTTTTTTGATAGATGACCTTTATTTATCGAAAAATCGACGGATTTGTTTGCCTCTCTACAAATATGTATAATAAACGCGATGTTAATTTTTAATAAATATTTATTTTTAATATTTTTCCTTAAATGATGAAGTTTCATGTTGTCTTATTTAATAAACTTGACAGTAAGTAGATCCACTTCTAATTATACATCCCAATGTTCATGCAAATTGTAGCACTTATTTGATGCTTCATATAACTATAAACTATGTGGTGTGATTTCAAATTGATTTTATCTTACTGTATTAGTGTTTTGTGGACTATATTCCAGTAGATATTCTTTATTCATTCTATTGTCAGTTGTGTAAGATCTTCGAATCAAACTATAATTAGTATTTGTGGACGATATTCAGAATTTTTCTTATGAAATAGAATATAGTTTGTAATAAATAACGCTTTGAATATGATAATTAGAATGAGTAGAATGATATAGTATTATTATTAATTTTTTGGCAAAGAAAATTCAATTGACCTCTTGCCCCCTAGCTTCATCCAGGTTTAGAAAGAGGTTTATTTGATATTTTCTTAAATTTTAACTTAGACCTAGATGTACGTATAAAATGTATTAAAAATATTGAACTATAAATTTATCTATATATAACTCAAATAAGATGGTTGAGTTTAATCATTACCACTCAAGTCCCGAATCAATATAATTAAACATTAAATCCTTCTAAGTAGAATTTAAGAATCCGTTAGACCTAGCCCCCTTGCTTGTACTTATCTCTTTTGAGGATTTTTATGTTAATAAAAGACCACTAGACACTCTGTCTAGTGGTATACTTGAAAAAGAAAAAAAAGGATCCGTTAGATTTTTTTTTTCTTTATTTCAAAAACACAATTTATTTTAAATATCACATTCTTAATGTTCAAACACCGACTAAACTACTGGAGAACAAGTTAATTTGTTAAATACTATCTCTGTCCACTTTTAATTGTCATAATTATCTTTTTTTTTAGAGTTAAACTATTAAAAACTCTGACTAACATTTTATGATGTATTTTTTCATCATATAGATATACAAAAAAAAATTACAATTTATAGTACTTTTCGTGTAGTTTTTGAATATCTAAAATTTATGTTTAAAATATCGAATTAATGTAACCTGAAAATTAGTCAAATTGACATTCGAAAAGAGTAACATGACAAATAAAAGTGAACGAAAGGAGTACTAATTTGTATCGAATATTTATATCACTTTAAATTAAAATGTAATATACATAATTTATATGCAAGAAATATATTTATTTTCATAATTTGATAAATACATTTGGTTCGATAATTTTTTATCAGTATTGTGAGCCTACGTAAGCTCAACTTTTCTTCATTTCACACATGAGCCATTAATCTCTACTCACATTTTATTTATGACAACATTATCCTTAATATCAACTTTGTACAATACGAAAATCAAACATATTTGTCAAAAAATTAATCATGTAATTGATGTATGACAAAATTTAGCAAAAACTTAGCTATTTCTAACGAACGTAAATCTTAAATATTGCTATAACATATGCTTTACCCTTGAAATACATATACTTATCAATTTCGATAAAAACAATCCCTTCTAATACTTGATCAGCTTAATTTTACTTGTTACACTTAACTTGACCATTATTAAAAAAATAATGTTTGATATGACTATCTTATCATATTATTCTTATTAATTGATGTGTAGTACTATTAGGTCGTAAAAAATAACTTAGGAAATAAACAATTAATACTAAGGCTAAAATATGAAAAAAAATCATTACTTTCTTTTGTTTTGTTAAAAGAAATTTTTTTTCTAAAATAGTGAACAAGTAAAAGTGATTAAAAAGGTACTCTAATTTTTAAGTCAAAAGTAAAAGTCAAACTTAGATGACTTTTAAGTCAAAAAATAAAAAGCATGAGAGACTTAACTTCTGATTTTTTACTTATTTTAAGTTATTTTTTACCTTGTCAAATGCTTTTAACTTATTTTAAGTTATTTTAAGTTATATTTTTATATTTATCAAACACTTTCAAAAGTTAAAAACTAACTTAAACATAGATTTGATCAACTTTTAAATCAAATCAAACACCATCTAAATATGGTCTAGTAAGACAAAATATATGTCGACCTTATCATTAACTCGTAAAGATAGAAATGTTGTTTTCGAAAGACCCGACACTAGTAAAAGTGATTAGGAGGAGTAACTGAAATATTGTTTTCAATTCCCAATAAACAATTTTTTCAACAAAAAAAAAACAAAACATTTTTTTGTTCCAAAACTACCCCTGCACTGAAACACACACCAATAAACACTCTGAGCTCTGAAAAATAAGTCCACATATAATAAATTCAACCATTCCCCTTTTAGTCTTTAAAAGGAGTTTTTTCCCAAGTGAAGTCAGCTCCAATTTCAAGGTCAATAATTTTGATTTTCTCTCTTTTGGGTGTTAAAGAATTAGTCAGAAATGTTAAATTAATGCCCCTTTTGCTGTTTTTCAGTTCTTCTGGAGAGAATCTTGATTGGTTCTGTGACTTGGGTCTTTTAACTATTCTTTTTGACAATATCTTGATTTTTTAACTATAAATACTAGATTCTTCATTTGTTGCAGGAGCTGAGCTTTTGAGCTACTGTTACAACAATGACTAGTTCTGGGAAAGAAGATCAAGATCAGAGGTACTCATCTTTTTGTATGTATATCTGTGTGTGTGTGTGTATGTGTATGTGTATGTGTGTGTGAATTTCTTATCTGGGATTTAGCTTTTGATTGCTTACTAGTACAATTGTTTTGTATACAGAAAAATCCATTATTATCTCATGTTTGGTCATAAATTTTGAAGTTGAAACTCGAAACTTTATAATTTGAGTTTAAAGTTGTGATTTTTGGAATTTGAGGTTGTGTCTGGACATGCATTTTATTTGGAAAAAAGTTAAAATTTTGTGAATGGAAATCCTAAAAATCTAAACTTGGAAATATTTGAAGAATCAAATTTTAATGCCAAAATCTACTTGTAAAATCTATGGCCAAATGCTAGCTAGTTGTGTCTTTACTTTGATGATAAGAACAAAAATAAGTGGAATGGGAATTGATCTTGTGTGTATAATGTGATTTGCTGCTGTTGGGGAGATTTTGTGGTGATGAACTCCCTTCCTTCCGTCCCTCTAGCTCCGCCCTTGGATATTGGATTTTGGTGACTGTTAATTTTGCTTTTGTGTTTCTTTTGTAACTTTTTTGGGTCAGTTGTGGGGCAGTGCAAAGGAAACAGTGAAATTGGAGTCCGTTGTTTTTGACGATAGAGTGTTCATCATAAGGAGGAAGATTGAATTAGCTATAGGAAGATTGTCACTCTAGTACTACAAGTGGATTTTTTTTTATGTATCGAGTAGTTTTGTTGGTTGGTTGGCTGATTGTAATAAACTAAATAACCTCTTTGAGTTTACTAATCGAAGCTTAATAGGGGAAAAAAATTGTATTTTGGTTATGATATATGTCTTGAATGTTTGTGAATGATTGAAGTGTGATACCAGTTTACAGTCTGTTCCTTCAGTTTCCATAATGAGTGATTAGCTTTAAATGCATAGTTGGGCGGCTGGGGCCGAGCAGGGGTAATTGTTTTATAAAGTATCTCTGCATTTGTCATGCACAGTAGGAAGTAGAAAATTTGGCAGCTAAAAAGATCTTCCAGAGTAAGTCGTGTGTCCATTTCAGGGCGTTAAAAGAGGTTTAGAAGTTCTGTTGTGGGAAAGGATGAAGATTACAGGGCGGAAGAAATAAGAGACTTGCAGAGTAATGCATACTTAAAATAACTGCAAATTCTTAACTCTATTAATTAATGACTAAAGGGGCTTCCTTTGAAAATCATTGATTATTAAGTTGTCGAAATCTATGTGTTTTTCTTCATTATATGGTAGCATGGTATTATGTCCTTTTAACCTCAGCAGAGTCAGATGTTACTTTCGTTATCTTTTAACAAACTTTCATCTTTGACCAGCAAAATCGATGGCGTTGAAGATTCTAAAACAACAATTGAATTTCTCCGGGGGAGATTATTGGCTGAAAGATCTGCATCAAGAACAGCAAAGCAGAGAGCTGATGAACTGGCACAAAGGGTTAGTCCTGTTGTTTAATTCTCTATAAGTAGACATGCATATAACACAACAAATTGAGTCATCGTTCCCAACTCAATCCGTACCTAGCATAGTCTTATTTTCCATATTTAGTTGTTTCCATTCCAATTTTGAAATTGTCTGCCCTTCGACAAGGAAAAACACTTTCAACAAACTGCCTCCATCTGTTACAGGTCTCGGAGCTCGAAGAGCAGTTAAAGGCTGTGTCTCTGCAAAGAAAGAAAGCTGAGAGGGCCACAGCAGCTGTTCTGTCCATATTAGAGAACCATTCAATAGATGATGTTTCAGAGGAATTCAGTTCAGGCTCTGATAAGGAAGCAATCTTATCTGATCAAAAAGATGCTGAAAATAAAACAGGAGGGGACATTTCGTCAAGTGTGAAAGAGAAAGAAGATGATGTGGACACGTTGTCAAGTTCGGGGACTGTATCTTCTTCATCAACTGCTAGAAGTTTGTCATGGAAAAGTGGAAAATCTTCTCATTCTTTGGACAGGAGGAAATACACTGATTCTAATCGGAGGAGATATAGTAACTTTTCATCCACTGACATTTCTTCTCCAAAACGGGTTGGTAATTCATGCCGACGGATAAGGCGCAGGGATACCAGGTTGCTTCATTTGGAATTACACTTCATTTGATTTTAAACAGTTCTGTCGATACTTCCATAGATTCTTTGCTACAACATCCTTAACGTGACACATTCAACATTTACTTTTACTTTAACTGATGTAAATGCATATACATACGCCTAGATATGACCAACACACATACGATAAACATTGCCATTGTTTTTTGGATAAGTTACCTTAACCATTTCTCATTTTGGACCTTATTCCTTTTGTGTGACCAGATCAGCTAGTGATAAGTTACAAAATAGTTCTGCTGAATGTGCCTCTGAGCCTCTTCCAAGCTCTGCTAACAATGAGCCTCATCCTTTGACGGCTGGTGCTGGCATTAATGATGTGAATGATCAAGTGCACGTTTCTGCAATAGATGTGTCAGGAAATGGAAAGGAAGCAGATAAGAGTGATGAAGACAGCCAAAGAGCTTTACATCAGCAAGCGCAACTGATAGGGCAATATGAAGCTGAGGAAAAAGCCCAGAGAGAATGGGAAGAGAAATACAGAGAGAGTAATATCTGTACACCGGTATATTTATTGATTCATCTCTTACACACTTCACATAATTCATCTATTGATTGTTCTAAGTAACTAGGTGAGTTATTTCTCCTTTTGCTGTTAAGAATGTTGGTATATTACTGTACACAAACACACTCACATAGTGGTGCACACACACGCACACACACACGGAGATATATGATGGAGCTCTCCCTTTTCTGAAGATTTCTATCTGCTATACTCCGCAACCCGTTCTGCTAGTGTATGTTAGCTAGGACGATATACAATCTGGATTAGTTGTTCTATGCTATGGCAAGTATTAGATGTGATTATATTCTATCTCCAATTGGATCTTAGTTTAATGTGATATCCAGATGTACTCACCCAAGTTTATCGTACTTTATATTACTGATTTTAGCAATTTCTAGGATTATAATTTGCATTGGGCTAGTGATATATTTGTTATTGTCATCTATCCATGTTGAATGTAGTAATGGACAAACAGAGACATGATGGTGTGGTTCACTTGATTCCATCTATGCGGCTTAAATTTTCATATGTGGATGCTGCTTAAAACAAATGAGCAAGCAGCATTCAATAGAAGCAGTAATGCGAACGATGGTGTTGGTCTTTCATGACTACTAGAGGCCATCAGTTGTAATAATAATTTCAAAACGTTTATAGGTCTTATTATATGTAGACATGGGCATCTAAGGTACATTTTTTATACAAACGGTGTTGAAGGTAATTCTGATTCTAAGAAAACACTAGGTCCTAAATTTGATGAATCTTGACCATTCTATGGAAGAAACAAAAGTTCGATATGGTCTCAATACAGTGATGCTGGTTATTCTTTTCAGTTAATATATATTGACTTTTGATGTCTTCTTCAACTCTTTATGCCTAGTGAGTTTCTAGATATGTTAGTTTTTGCTTTAGTCTGGTATTGACCTTCTGCAGATGATTTTCTGGTGAAGATAATGCATATGTATGTTAAGGTGTGTCACAACTAATCTCATCTCATTCGTCTTTTGTGAACTACTCAGGATTCGTGTGACCGTGAAAATTACTCGGACGTGACTGAAGAAAGAGATGACTTGAAGGCATCTCAGGAACCATGCTTAGCTGGAAACACAAGTATGCAGAATCATGCAAACCAGAGTGGAGCAGCAGATGTTTCCCGTACCGAGCAGAATGGAAATATAGACAACTCTCCATCTACCCCACATGTCAATATGAGCTGCTTGGAAGATAAAAAAGGCAGCAGAACTGTTGAATCAGATTCCCCAGCATCAGAGCTTGCACGTCCAATGTCTAATGGGAATTATTTAGAAAATCATGGTCAGACATCTGCTTATAGCCACCAGCAGTCTCTTCCTGTGACTCGTTCCCCCATGCACCCCCGAAGTAGCAGTTTGCAAGCAGGACAAGCTCCTCAAACAGGTTATGAACTTGCCTTGGTGTCTCATAACACTTCGAATAGTGTAAATTCTGTCCTCGGGGAACTTGAACAAGCTAAACTTTCACTGACAAAACAAATCAACAGCTCACTACCAACTGCCAGTTACCCGGGAATGCCCTCACGATTCAGTTCAGTAAACCAGTCTTCTGAACCTTCCACCTATGAAACCTCTCTAAGTCCTTACATGGAGTCTCGATCAAAGTATGTTACACAAGGTAATAGGGTTACTTATCCTTTCCAAAGAGCTTTCCCCGAGGTCTCTTCTTCAGCTCCTTCATACAGGCCTATATCTGAAACTAACTTTGATGCAGGCCAACCATCTTCAATGAGGTTTAATCCTAACTCGAGTTCACGTCTTCCCTTATCTAGTAAATTTACATACCCTTCCTATCCCAAGTTCCCAGACATGGTGCCAAAACTACCCCCAAATGAAGTGTTCTCGAGAAATTATCCTAGGAATGAGACAGATCTACCTCCCTCATTTTCCTTCTCAACCTGGAGTCCCGAGGTTGTGCCAAGACTACCCTCAACTGAAAAAGTTTCAAGAAATTTTCCTACAAATGAGACAGATCCACCTCCCTCATTTTCCTTCTCAACCTTGAGCCCCGAGGTGGTGCCAAGACTACCTTCAACTGGAGTTTTCCCGAGAAACATTCCTACGAATGAGACAGGTATACCTCCTTCATTCGCCTCGCGTAATGATCCTCATATCAGACCAAATATGTATAGAGGTTGATATTGTTCACAGTACATGCAGTTCTTGGTAAAGAAAATCTTCACATACCTCAAATGTTTTGAGAAGTGCTTACATATAGATTATTTAATCTCTAGTTTGTGTATCATTTACTTCTTTAATTATCTTAATCCCAGCCTAGTTAGGTGTTACAGAGAAACATCAGCAATATACCTTTTGGTTTTTGAAGCTGTTGTTGTAGACTAGGTGTGTTGTGAAATGGCAGAAATATATGAAATTTATTGGCAGGTGCTATAACATATAGTTTTTTTTTTATTTCTTTTTGTTTTGTTTTGGTTTCCCACCTGGTGTTTGGTAGAGTCCGACTAATCCAGATTTGCGCCGGGTAGGGCCCCTAATTCGGGGGTAGCACTCCCTGCCAAGGATTTCTTAATACCCAATGCTCAAATTCGAGAATTCTGATTAAGGGAGGAGCAACCCCATCAACTGCACTATATTTCATTGTTTTGTTTTCCCTACGTTCCCATTAAGGAACACAATGACATTGCTAAGAGTTTTGACTTCTATACGTAGACAATTACTACAACAAATAAAGAATTTGGTGGCAATAATAAATATGAATATTTATGACCAACACTTTATATAAATATCATTAAAGGCTTTAGTGAATCTGGATATAATTATATTCACTCAATTGCAGCTAAATATTTTTGCAAATATATTCACTAAAAGGAAAAATCTATTGCTAGTTAGTGTCTCTTTTATTGTAGTGAATGCAAAAAGGACTATATAGTATCTAAAATTTCCTTTCAAGACCATCTCCAACCCCACTCTAAAAAGCTCTCCATTCTCTATTTATAGAGAGGTGAATAGTAATTCTCCAAATTTGGACAACTACTATTCACCTCTCTATTTCACTTTTTCATTATTTTAATATTATTTCTATTATTTGTAACTAACATATTATTTTTCATATAAGTCTATTAATTAAATTTCTAATATTCGTAATTCTTTTTAAATATAATACAACATTTTTAAAAATATATTATTTAACATATACTACTTTCATCCCGAATTAACAATATTTTAAATATTTGTTTTTTCAATTTTCATCACTTTAAGAGATAATTTGATGTTATTATTGATTTTCACTAAATAATGAACAAAATTTAAATGATAAAATGATAATTTTAATTTAAAAATACAATACATGACATAATAATTTAAATACAAGATAACAATACAATACATAACATAATGATTTTTAAAATCACAATAATAATTTAGTAAACCGGTAGGTCATTTTTAGATTTAGCAATATTCGGAAAAAAGATAGTGTATAATCTAGAGAATTGTTGTGTTTGTGATTGCGATTGTGCTTGTAGATTTCTTTTTTCAATTTTTCGTAGTTGTTCTTTAAAATTTAGAATAAAATATAATTTTATATTAAATAAAGAATTTTTAAAAAAGAATAATTTTATATTACACGAAAATTATATAGGGTGATTATTTTGAAAAAAGAGAGAACAGATTTTATTATGAAATAAGAAAATGAAATAGAAATAGAAATAATAATATAATATTTATGAGAGAGAAAAATTGAGTTGGAGTTGATTGTCTGAAAAAATAGAGAAATCTATATTTGGAGAGTAAAATAGAGTGTAGGGTTGGAGATGCCTAAAAGGACAGTTAGCTTTAATGAAAACAAAAAACTCCTGACTAATCTAAATTCATAGCATGTAAGACTATTATCATTTATCGAAACCTCTTATTAATTAACGATGGAGGGATCTACCTAGCTCCCATTACAAACCTTGGGGTTAATAGAATTGATTGTGACAATTCAATGTTGGAACCAAATATCAAACAAGATTAATTCAATATGACTTGGTCAAATTTGACTAGTCATGCATGTTAGTTCATTTGCTTGTCAAGCTCAACTACACGTTTAGAAAGAATAAATCTTCTTTAATTTCAATCTCTCTCTCTCTATATATATATGTAGGAACAACCAAACTAAATTAATCAAATACAACACAAAAACTTCATTTTTTTTAAAAATGTCCACTCATGACTTGTATAATACCATAGAAACAAGAAATATGCCATCAAATGCAAGTACTAGTAATAGTACTAGAAATGATTTTGATCATGACAATAATAAAAACGAAGATCGAGCACGTCTTGATCCCATGCTAATGGAACTCTTGGAATCATTAAGGGAAGTGTATATGAAAAGAAGGGATCAATTGTTGAAGAAAATAGATTATGAAGAATCAATAGAGGTGTTGAAGAAATTGAAGATTTCTGTAAGAAAGACTAAAAAGAAGTTGAAAACTCAAACTATTATGAAGAGAAGTTTAAGTGTTGGAGATGAGATGAGAAATGAAAAATTTAAGATCAAGACTCCTCATGTTGTTATAGTAACTAGGCCAAATGGTCAAAATGATTGCAATAATTAATTTTGGCTAGACCCCAAAAGAGTGCTATTATAGTAGTGGAGGTCAGAATTTCATCGAAAAGATTATTTACAAATATGTTAAAATGTCATACCTGATGTTCGAACGCATGATTTATAATATATTAAGTAATTATGTCAAACCATATTTGTTATTATGATAGAAGCTTTCTTGTAGTTAATTTTTCGACAAAGAAAATTCATCTGAACACCTTTCACCATATATCACAAATTATAAGTAAGCTGGTTAACTATAAGTTAATATGATTAATTAATTAAGTGTAATATAATTGTTAACATTCATTTACACATTTTTGAAAAATAGTTACGTACTTTAAATATGATGGTAATTATAATTCACTACTCCCTCCACTCCAAAGACTATCATGTTTTCGAGAGTTAATTTGACTAGTTATGAAACTAAATCGAATTAGATTTTTTTAATATTTTAAAATTAAAATTTATATATTAAATAACTATAATAAAAAAAAAGTAACATAAGTTGCAGTTTAATATCCTCATATCATTTAATAAGGAAAACATACAATTTAAAATGGTCATACAAACTCCTTTCAAATATTTTATAATTGTCATTTTTTATGACTTATAGTATTCTAGTTTCCAAATATGTAAATTTTATTTTTAAAAAAACTTAAGATTTCGTATCCAAATTTACAATCAAAAATTTAATATAACTCTGAAAATCCAAAAAAAATGTCACATAAATGAGAACAAATGAATCTCATTTTCCAGTATTGAGACAAATTAAGAATTGTTTGTAAAAAATCCAATTTGTTGACTTTCTTAGTTTCTTAACGTAAGAAAACAAATATTTTATTTATGAAAACCCTAATCCAACTTCTACTTTACTTGGAGTAATTTTTGGCACATAATCATGTATTATCTCAAAACATGATGAATTATGCTTTATTAACACATTATTTACCCCCCTCATCATATCAACCATTAGCTTAATTCAACTGAATTATATTAATTACCTCTCCTTGCATATACGTAAATATAAAATAAAAAAAATACAAATATAAATAGAATGTCGTCATCAAAATCTAAGCATATGTTAGGTTTTCAATTTTATCCCACGGATAATTAAAGAGTTGATCAACTATTTAATATTCTCGTTGCTCCACTTGTTTTTCAAACAATTTGAATAATTTTTTTCTTTGATTATAGTTTTTTTGATATGGTGTTTAATTTTAATGTTTTTAGAGATATAAAAAGGTTGCAATCTGTTGTTATTTGTATGTAATTTCCTGTTGTAGACTTTAACAAAAAAAGGTTCAAAGTTAATTTTTTTATTTTAAAAAATAAAATTATAGATAATTAAATTAGCAACAGGAGTTAATTGTTGATTAGGTAGCGCAAATCCTATTCAAAGAGCAAAAGGAATCGTTAAAGAATTTGGTTTTACGGCAAAACGTGTGGATGAAGTAACAAGAAATTAAATAAACAACTAGTAATAATGATCAAATAACCAAATCCTAACTTTTAGTCATAAATAAATACAATAAACAAACATACAAATAATTGCTTGACTAACTTCTTTTTTTAAAAAAATAATCTTAATGATCTTATAAAACAGGTGTCACCCATCCTAATTTCATTGTCATTAATCTTAATATTTTAAAGCACAAATTTTGACTTAACCCAACTAAAGTCGAAGAAATTTATTCAATGACCACCGCTAACCGCTTTCGGTCAGAAGGTTTTAGTGCGCGTTCTCTCGAGTGTTTATTACGTATATATATTAGTTAATCACATAGAATATGTCACCTTCTTTAATTTATACACATTAACTTCACTTGAAACAAGTATAAAGTCTTACGACTTATTAAGACTAATGTATTTTTTCTAAAAGGAGATTTACTTTAACTAGTTAAATTATTTATATAACAAACGTTTGAAAACATACTCATACACTTTTTCAAAATTTGAGTCGTAAGTATTGTCTCTGTCTGATATGAATAATTTATCATGTGTTCAGATGTTCAATTGAAACAGGCAACAGTTCGAGTCATGTCTACTATTTAAGGCGAGCAATGATGTACCTATGTCTTCCACACATATAATTAATCTTGTGAAACTTTCCACATATATGTTCATGGAAGATCACACTAATGGAGACTCAGAGGCTATAACCTCTTCAATTTCTGATCATACACAAGAAAATTCAATGATGATGAGAAAGAAATCAAGAAAATTGATTATTCATGTGTTACATTTCTTTAGAGACTTGTTCAAGAAAATTGGAGGTGTGTTTTTAAAGAAGGATCAAGAAAAGAAATCTCAAATTATTTATCCTCCATGGATTCCTAGTTTTGGCTCTTTTAATTGTAGTGAAGAAATTGTTGAATCTCAATTAGGAAGACTAAGAGTTAGTTGTGATGATTGTAGTCAGGGGCGGATCTATGAAGAGGTGTGGGGTGTCACGCCATCCCCGAACTTCGACGAAAACTCTATATATACATAGGTATATATATATAATATTTATATCAAGGGCAAAGGCAAGGCGGGACTCAAAGATGTCCGGTATCTATATAAGTGAAATTAGTTACCTGGAAAAAGAAATGGAGTTTAAGGTCAAGGTCAAGGGCACGGACAAGGCAGGGCACAGAGATATTCGATATCACCTGATAAAAGAAATGGAGTTTAATTTGTTTTCGTACCAATAGTAATAAAAAAAATTATGTTTGATACAATTTCATGTTTATATATTTGCTTCAAAATCATGCATGTGATTAGATGTTTGTAGTTTCAATAATTGCGACACAGGGTTTGTTTGGTAGGTAGGAAAATATTTTTCAATTTTCTCATGTTTGATTGGGTTAATTATTTTAGAAAATATTTTTCTCAAATTGAAGGAAAATGACTTCCCTTCAAAAATTTAAAGCTTGTTTTTAAAAAATATTTTTAACTTTAATTTCTTTTACCTCACCCTCATCCCTACCGGAGCACCCTACCACCGCCCCCCAAAAAAATTGTTTTTAAAAGATATTTCTAATTTCAATTTTTTATCCCCCTCTCTCACCCCCTACCCCCACCCCCATC